ACTTGACATGTTACTGGCTGAGAAAGGAGGGGTTTGTAAGATGTTTGGTGACTTCTGCTGCACTTTCATTCCTAATAACACTGCTCCTGATGGAAGTATCACTAGGGCCCTTGCAGGCTTGACCTCTTTGTCCTCAGAACTGGCAGAAAACTCAGGCATTGAGGACCCATTTGGTGGTTGGTTTGATGCACAGTTTGCTAAATATAAAGCCCTGATAATATCCTTGTGTCAGGTTTGCCCGGCTGCACCTTCCTTTCTTCTCTTTTCTCGCCCTAGTCAGCTCCCTCACACTGATTATTTGATTAGACACACCTGCCCTGATTTTCTGACACTCATCAGCTGCACCTCTTTTGTCTCACTCCTCATTTATACTCTGCTCACCCATCACTCCCCTGCTAGTTCTTTCTACATCGTCAGACCTCCCTAGGATTATCGCTCTTTCTTGTTTATTCCGTTATTCTACGTATGTTTGTGTGTTCACTGCTTCCTTCTACGTTTGGACCTCTCCTCTGGATCCTGGCACCCTCAGCTCCACCAGCCACCACCATCACAGGTCGATGCACAGTCTCCAATTTAACTGTATCTCTCCTATTACCTCCTCAGTCAACCGGATCTCCTGCCCGACCAGCCCAGGAGTGATTCCTACCCCTGCAGCCCGGTCCATCATCACTCCGCGTACCATAACTCCTGCTACTGCTGGTCGACACCCGGTTATATTCACCACTTCACTTTGTATATAGTGATGCACTACTTAAACACTGTAAATAAATCTCTGCTTGCACCGAAGCAAGACGACTGGGTCTGCTGTTTTCTCCGCTCGCTCACCCTTGTGTCGAGCGTTTCCATAACAACATGTTATCTTCATGGAGACACTAAAGAGATAATCAGGGGATTTCACAAGTCAACTGGAACCACGTCCATTTATTATCTCAGTTGTTGAGATATTTCAATCTGGGCCATAGTAGTAGATTGAAGGACACAAACAGATCAACACTAGCATCCCTAGATCTATTCAGGTGAACAAAATTAGACTGGGGGAATGAAACAGCTCAGGAGGAAAGAATACATGCAATAATAATTCTAACTAACTTAAAAAATACCCACTGTTGCTATGTCTTTTCTTAGCAGTTAAGTGCTCTTTCAGCTCATCCTCCCCACGCAGCATCATCCTGCTTGTGTTGTGAGCAAAGTTGGCAGAGGGTGCCTCCAATGCGTTGATGTACCTGTGGCAAAACCAAGGATTTTAAAAAAGTGGCAGATGCTGGATAAAACAACAGAGGTCACTCAAGCAAGATGCTGTCTCACCAGAAACAGTCCTCTGTTGTGTTGATGGTCTTTCTGTAGACATAGACCTTCTTCCAAACAGGCTTAAATGGCAACAATTTCCTCATAAAGTGCAGTAATAAGTCTGAGACCTTGCGTGCTGGAGGCAGAATTCGGGTCAGTTTGGGTTTATAGTCACATGAGAGACCAAAGCTCCCAGCAGAGATGATGGGAATGCTCAGCAGTAGGCCAATCTCTTCACTGAGGGAATAACAGAGGGGTGAAAAGTCAAAGATCACTCAGTTGTTGCTTGTTTTATATATGTATATATATACATATATATATAAAATTAGAGAGAAATAAAGTTATACTCACTCCACTAACTGGAAGGTGGCATATGTGCAAGAAGGACCCAGCATGACACATCCAACTGTACCCTCCTCCTACAGAACATCACAGTTTAATGGCGTTTAATTTAACAGCTCTAACACTGTGAAGGTTTAGGTGCCATGTGACTGTCCTGGAAACAGTTTGACAAAATGGCTAAAAATATTATTTTAGATTTAGGAGTGCCATGTCATCCTGTCATGGATTAAGGTTGATCTAAGGATAATAAATTATCAAACCACAAAAGAGGAACTTGTGTTTGTTGTCCACCCAGCCATATAATCACAGACAAGTTTAATCCCTAGGATCTCATCACTATATGAGTTATCTAAAAACAGAGATGGGTTTTCCACTGAGATATTAAAATGGAGAAAGGACAAAGATGAGACATAAACATGGATGAAAAACTTAAGGCATGTAAGCAGTTTTGTCTAAGCTTCTCTTGACCGAAAGTATTTTTACCTTAACACCCTTGATTATGTTAACGTCAGTGTGTGCACTAAAAGAAACACCTCTCTCTTCCTCTCATATCATTTAACCATACTCACAGACAGCCTCTTGATTATGGCCACTCCCTCACAGGTGCTGCTCCCACAGCCCTGCCGGTTGTACACACTGGTGTTGAACCCAATGTAGTTTGCCTTCAAAGTGAAGTTTAAACCTTGAGTCATGGAAATAAAATAAGAGTTATTAATGTCAAAAATGATCTAATTCATCTTCTTAATCTGATGATCTTTGTTAAGATAAGAATGACTTCATCACTCATTGGTGGAAATTCTGCCTTGGATTTTTATCACTAGAACGTCAAATTTTTATTTCACTGGGTAATAAGACTAGTCCCTGACTAAATGGTGGCAGTGGCGAGCAAAGCCTATTATGTAATTTTATGGCTAAAACATATTAAAACCAACTGTTTATGCCAGTGGAGGAAAGGTCCCACTTACCTGGTATAAAGTTGATTAAATGTACAGTATGTGGTTGAATGACTTGGTTGGAACCCTCTGGTGTTTGCTTTGAGATTTGTCTGATGATTTTAGGCTAGCATAGTTCAATCAATCAATCAATCAATCAATAAAATAATGTAATAACTGTTAACAGCTATGCCTTTTAACTGCTCCAAAAGTACCCTATTCACATCTTGTTAGTTAAAAATTAGCTACCAAGAAAGTATGCAGAGCAACCTCCCTATGAGGCCAGGCCCAGATCCCCACATACTGACGGTCAGTAAGCGTTAGCGTTAATGGTTAAGGTTAGAGTTTAACGGTAGCTAATTAACCAGTTACGTTTTAAAGAAACCCACTCATTAATAGCACTTACTGTTGTTTTGTCGATATGTTCAGAATCCATATTGGCTCTTGTAACTATCTGGATTACAAGCATATCGTCCGCTGCAACCATAAAAAAAGACTTTCAACGTTTTTCCCAAATCGCGCCAGTTTCCTCCAGACACTCAACCAGGCCGCCATCTTTGTTTTGATTGGAAACCTGGGAAGCAACTTAATTAACTAAAAATCTTTTTTAACAAATCATTAACATTAGACTGAACATTTTATCAGGTTAGGATGATCTCTGGTGGTTCTGAAAATTGTCAGAACAACGTTAAGTGCTTCTAAACAAGGTTCTGGGTTTTTCAAACATTGCCTTTTAGTTAACTTTTGAGAAACCTCTGATACTGGGCTTAGCACCAGTTAGCTTAGCTTAGCATAAAGACTAGAAACTGATATTGAATTGTTAGGTATTTTTAGTCAATAGATATTGGTTAGATACTTGATGTATTAGAAATGTTAGAGTAGACAGGGTGTCTGGCTCATGGCTGTTAAATGCTTAGTCATTATGAGTTACTGCAGGTTGCTTATGGTCAAGGATAACTAGATAGAAAGTTGATGACTGTTAGAAGACAGGATGTTTAATATTATTATGATGATGTGTATAACTGTAGCCATAGCCATAATATTTTCTTATGTTTAATGTTAGGATATGTCACTAGAGGTCGTGTTAGAATGTTTTTAGCTACACACCACTTAATCAACAGACATTCACACATTGATTTTTCTTCATGCTTTGACTACTGCTCTGGCCAGCTGCAAAGCTGTCCCTGGGAGACATCACGGTTTGGCGTCTCTCTCTGTAGTATGGGATTAGCCCGAAGTGATATAATGTATAGGCCTGTTGTGGTTCTGGGTCTTTCATCTTTCAGCTGCCTGCGTGCATGTTGGAGGTGCAAGATACCTGAGCGTGTAATGTTAATTTTTACCTGTGTTCATTGAATAAATCAGCACTGTTTTGAAGTTACTTGGACTGCTTCGTCTCTCAGAGTTAGCATGGTAAAAAGAACCGAATGCAACAACTGTATGATTTGTCTAATGTTAGTTTGTTCCTGAGTTTGTTTATTTGGATTAGGGTTGTTTGTTTTTGTGGGGGTTTTTTTTTACTTGTTTTATCTAGCTGGGCATATAAGTTTATTATCGTTACTGTTGCATGTGTTTACAAATTATGGATTCACCCATAGTACAGCAGCTACAGTGCCTTGCGAAAGTATTCGGCCCCCTTGAACTTTGCGACCTTTTGCCACATTTCAGGCTTCAAACATAAAGATATAAAACTAATTTTTTGTGAAGAATCAACAACAAGTGGGACACAATCATGAAGTGGAACGAAATTTATTGGATATTTCAAACTTTTTTAACAAATAAAAAAACTGAAAAATTGGGCGTGCAAAATTATTCAGCCCC